TATCCAGCACCAAGGCAGGCAAACAAGCAGAGAATGCTGACGACTGACGGCTGTCTGCTGGCCTGCACCTCCCACTCCTGCAGGCACTACAGTAGCTGCTGCCACACAGCAAGAACCTGTCATTTAATGTGCCATTATCAGAGGAAGCAGCTCCACAGTCTGAGCACCAGCTGCTCCCAGCTAGTCTCCAAGCAGACAGAAGGAAAAAGATGAAGGACTACACAACAGAGGCCGGCCAGCTCCCTTCCTACAAGACAGCTTTTCCTCTCCAAGCTCCCAGTGACCTCAAAGGGGCAGTTCCCAGGAGAAGTGCACAAAACATGCTGGACTCCAGGCGGACAGATGCGTTACATCAGCAGCCACATTTCCTAATCATAGGTCTGTTTGTTAATGCGAATGCACAGAAATTAGGAGTCTGCAGAGGACAAATCAGTGGGCAGAAGGGGTGCAGCACTTAACATTTAATGCATCTTCTGATTCTCCCCTGTAAATCACACCTGAATATAAAGTCCTATTCTGGCTAGAGAATTCTGTACAAAGGGGGTCATGCATACTACCTAAATGGCTTCCTCCTTCATCTAGTCAATTAATATGTTCCACAGTTTGCTAAGTGTCTGTAGCCAGTGCTATACATAAAGATTTTGAAACGTCGTCAGCTCTTGCTACTCTCAGTCTCCAGAGGAGAGTAATGGGTAAACTTCCCTTTCTTGCAACTCTAAGACCCATGTCAATGTTGCAGCCCATTTCCTAAGGACTTCTCTTACACCAAAACACAAATACATGCAAAATCAAAACAAAAAAAAGTGAACAGGCTGACACCAGTCTTCACTCCCAGACACTCCCCGATAACACCCTTCCAAGTCCACTGAAATCACTGAGCTTAGAGGGGTCCAGCTCTGCTCAGGATGGCATGCAAAGAGAACAACATCTGCTCTTCTGAGAAGACCATAATCCATGAAATGTTTCTCATTTCAAGCCTCTTTCTCTTCTCTAACTCCACCAGATCTAACCAATCCCTTTAGGAAAATCATGCCTGAGACAACGATAAAAGGAAATACAGAGCAAGGCCGATACAAAGTCTGACTCTCCTGATGCAAACCCATGTGTGACCTGTGCTTCATTCTCAGCAGTGTCTTCTGGCTGCACCATCTTTCAGGGAACTGTGTTCCCCAACCCTTTGGAGGAATGGCCTCCCAGACAAATGAGGTTAGTGTCATTGTTACCACCCTTTAGGGAAGCCTGTCCTTTTCAAAATGGCTGTTTCTATGGGGGGGTTTCCACGAGGGGACCAGATCGGATTTTTTGGTGGCAATTTCCAAGGCTGAGATTTTGAGGTCTGGGATGGTAAAGTCAGTTTATATCCGCAGACCTTCCTGTTGTAAACCTTTTTTAACTTTTTTACTTGTATGTCTTATAGCACATATTTTGTAAGCTGCCCTCAGAATGGAAGAAAGGCAGGTTAAAGGTGTCTGGGGGGAAAATGAAACAAAGTGCTTGTGACTTGAGCAGCTTTTTAATACAGTATTTCTCCAGCCAGCATTCTGCTGTGACAGATACACTTTTGCTGCCCTTTTCCTTATACTTTTCATGGCACAGGGATAGCTGGTGGTGATCACTAGAAGTGTGAGGTTAGATGACAGTGGGTTTTCATCTGAGCCAGGATTTTGCCAAGAACACTTGAAAGCGGTGTAGGATATTCTGTTAAGGAAGCAGCCATTTTCCAGATCTTGCAGATATCACATTTTCCATATACTGCTGTTTTCATTCCTCAAAGATCCGCTACTGTATAGTTGCATCACTATAAAAGATAATTGGGTGCCATATTTAATTAGGCCCAGCTAACCGTTTTATCAAGCTCCAGGAGCTGGATCAGGCTCCAGAATCTAGATGCCACATATTGTTTATTTGTGGGGACTATTTGTATCTGTACATGCTGGATGGCTGGTTGAAGAAAGGAAAGAAGCAGTCCAGCTCCTGTTTCCATAAGTAATGGATGATATACTTGAAAGCAAATGAAAAGAAGCTCTGACTTGCATCTGACAGACAGGAAACAATTTTAAGACTGGTTCAAGAAAGAACCTCTTCTTTCATGTCTTGCTTTGGACACACCCAACACTGCCATAACCCCCTTCTATATACAATGACAGGCAGATTACCCACCAAAGTGCAACACAGCCCAAAATGCCACTGTCTACAGAATGCAAACAAAAGAGGACAAATAGATTTCCTTATGCATTCTAACCCACAAGTACCCTGGAAATGCAGAGATTTCCGTTATTAACAGGCTTCTGCAGCACTTAAAACAGGAATACAGCTCTATGTTGCAAGCTTCTCTTGCCTTCAGAATCCATGTGATGAATCTTAACAGCACTTCAGAGAACGAGAAAACTGAACTGCTTTCCAAAAGCATAAGCAAGACCTTAAGCCCCCTCTGTAGCTTGAAAGCGAGTACTCAAAAACCCTGCTAGATTCCACTCCTCATACCATAAAGCTTAAGTCCTGTATTTTCCGTTCTGTATGAAGTATGTAGATGCATGTCACTTTCTTACCTCACCAGCAACCAAGGGTTACAGCACTCTTTAGTTTTAGTTTGTATCTCCAGAATGAAGCTTCCTTGCTTTGTATGAGCCAATGAATCCTTTGCAAAGGTCAGAAGAGGCATTTACTCATCTGTCTCTAGGGCCCATCCACTTATACTTTGATCCTGGAAGTAACAGCAATAAACCTTGTAAGTATCATCAGCGCTAGAGATCTAGCCCAACGCAGTGTTTAGTCCGAACATCAGTGGTCAGTGGTCACACCTGTAGTTACAACCTGAAAAGCTCCAAAATAGAGAAACCACTGTGAGACCATGGAGCAGGGATTCGACATTCACCTGGTCCAGTCACTGCTCACCTGTAGGGAAGGGTATGTCTAGCATGGCACTTGTTCCTTATTTCAGAGAACAGTTCCTTCGACAGTATTAATAGAAGAATTCACGGACAAGAAAGATGTGCAACAGCAAGCAACTGTAATATGTTACAAGGACAAAAGTATTTTAACAAAACACTGTTCTAGTTCTGAGACACATAATACATCAGTCTCTTTCATTATACACCTCATTACAAGCACTTGAGTATGAACAGGTGCTGCATCACAGGTGTGCTGGAAAGATGCAGTAGAGCTCGGTTTGACACTGTGTGATGCAACCAAGCTGCTTTATCTGCTCATGCCTTCTGGGTTTTTTCCCCCTCAGCCGAAATGATTCAATATCCTCCAAACAACCAAACAGGATGACAAGCCGCTTTCACAAAGCAGACAAATATCCCTACGGTCCTACAATGCATAGAAACCCTACAACAAACGTGACAGGGAATTCATACATCAATATGGAGAGAAATTAACAAGGTGCAAAAGTCAGAAGCAAGAGCAGAATTTTTTAGTTCTCAAAAGTAGCATAAAGCAGAAGAAAATTTGTGGCTGTACCCCAATCAGTCACCACGCTCCTTTTAAGAAGACAAAAGTTCCAATGAGTTTTGGACTTCATCAGATCAACTCCAGCTGTCCCTAGATGCTCTCCCAGATCCTGGAGAGATTCCAGCAATGAGCTCTTATTTGTTCCTTGTTACCCTCAGCTGCAAGCCAGTTCTTCCAGCTGTTGCCCAGCACTCTGTTGGCACAGCGCAGCTGAACCAGAAAAAGTGCAAGCCGGACCACTGTTCCATCACATTTTCCCAAAGCAGCAGCTAGCACGACCAAACCTACTGGATGCAGGGTAAGGAAGTGTTCTTCCCCTTCTAGGTAAAAAAACACCCGGCAAACCCAACTCAAACAAAAGCCCAAAGGGTCAAATTAGACATTAACTATGAAAATAAAAGGAGTATCACGTAAGACTTCTAAGGCCAGTTAATCAAAAGGGCTTCAGTGTACCAAATCTTATTTGCATAGCATCAAAAAGAATGCAGATTTATTCCTTTTTTTTATGAAGAGGAAGAGCTTCTAAGGGCCACTTCACACAAGCCAAGTCTCCGACACGGATATAAACCTCCATGTAACAAAGTACACGTGTACACAGGGACATGTTTCAAATGCACGTGTCTATTTTTTGCATGTGCATACTTGTGGGAACCCAGCCAGCCACAGGTTCCCTACATTTACATGTGTCAAAAAAATCATCCTGTGAGGGTTAAATACAGATTTTAACATTTAAAAAATTGTCCTTTCCTGAAGCCCAAAGTATGTGGTACTGGCATCTACTAAGCATGCCTTCAAAGGAGACACACTGAGAGAGAGGTAGAAAAACTGGAGGGGTATGGCATCAACACCAAAAGAAGAAGTGGTGCTCATCAGGCTGATGAATGAGGAGGACCCAAGCATTACGGCACAGAACTACGGTTGCCAGCTCCAAATTAGGAAATACCTAGAGATTTTGGGGGTGGAACCTGAGGAGGGCACCATTTGGGGAGGGGAGGGACTTCAGTAGGTACAGTGCCATACAGGCCACCTTCCAATTTACTCCAGGGAAACTGATCTGTTGCATGGGAAATCAGCCGTAACTCCAGGAGATCTTCAGGCACCGCTTGGAGGTTGGCAACCCTATACAGGACCAGAAAAACTGCGATGCCTGATGTGCTGTGCCCTATACATGCTGTACTCTAGGCCAATCTACTGCTTGACAGGACAAAGCCCCAGACAGGTCATGGTGTTCAAAAGGACAAGAGATCAACACCACCTTCCAATTGTCTTCCCAAGGAGATTCCTGCAGCAGACCCTGTCTGAAAATGTTCCTTTCCACCAGTCCTCCTAACATTGGTGCACATACCAACCTAGTCCCAGTGAAACTACAAGAGCTAGCCTTGAATTTCTCCTCCCGGCCAGCAAACAAACCAATTGTAGGTTATGCAGCAACGCATCGGCCCAGCTGCAATGAGGAACAACGGGGCAGGGGGCTTAATCTCCCAGCACTGTCCTCATTTCCAGCACCACCTCAACCAGGCCCGACTGCCAACCCACAGTCTTACCTTCTCCGATTTCACCTTCTTGAGCTGCCGGCACTCACTGTCGCCATCTTCCAGCTCCGATTTAACTCCCAAAGGGTTGAGTGCAGGTCCCGTGTCAATAGCTATACTCCCAAGCTGCTCAGCAGCGGGCTCTGATCCTTGGCCCCCATCGTATTGCCCAACCCTGACAGCCAAGGCAAGAGGCTGAAGTACACCGGGCTCCTTCTCTGCCGGAGCACCTGCACCCTCAGTCCTTTCCTTCTTACTCTTGGATGAACTACCCTCCTTGTCTTTCTTTGAACTGGCCACGCTGCGAGAAGCCTTGGCCGATTTCTCCGAGCCCTTTGGGCCAACGGCAGCCACCAGGCCGCCAGAGTTCACACCGTCCCCAGGGCGCCCCTGAACCTCCTTCTTGCCACTGGTCCCTTCACTTGCAGTGAACAGAGAGGATCCCGGGGCGGCTTTGCCACTGTCCTTGCCGCTCTTGCTCCGCTTGGATTTGGACTTGCCTTCCTTGCTCTGTGGGCCCGGTACTGGCGTCACAAACTTGATGTTCTCTGGCAAAGTGGCCACAGCATTCGGTGCCGGAAGCCCCACCTCCTTGGAGCCCGACATTTCCAATTTCTGCTGGTCCTTCTCCAAATCTGCGTCCAGGTCAATGATCAGATTCCCTACTCCAATGTCCCACTCATCCCCACTGTCATATGTCTCAACTGGGTTCGCGTCTACTCCTTTCCCTCCGGAAGCTCCACTGCTCAAGGACATCTTAGAGTTAACGACCCACCTCAAGGTTCAAGGCTCTTGTCTGCTCCCTCAGCCTTTTGGGGTATGAAGTAGCAGCTTCGGCTAGGTTCTCAAACCTCCAATGGTCATGGTGCGCCCAGGCGACAGCATCATTGCTGAAAGGGAGAGCAAGAACAGAGGTTACATCATGGTTATGTGGAAATCCATGACCCAGAGTGGAATGTACACACACACATTATTTATTTATACCCCACCATTCTCCTGTAAAACTCAAGGTGGTACATACACTTAAGGGGTTCCAAGCCATCTCCAACCCAGACCCTGACCCAACCTGGACCCGCCTAACTTCAGCATGACTGCTTTACCTTTTGCCTTCAGACTCAGAAGGATGCATACAGATCAGCTAAGCATGTACTCGTTTGCTGCATTTACCAGCATCACAGGGCCTAGGCCCCAATGCCTTGTGGTTAAACATGGCCGCAAGCAGGGAGGATCGCCACTCTGAAGTTGTATCTGAGCTCAGCACCAAAATTCTTTCCATGATTAAACCAAAATACCAAAGTTCAGATTCAAACTACACACATGCAAGTAAAATCATTTCCATCTCCAGGCTGACCAGCCAAGAGAAACCCAACTGGCATGTACAGTTTGTCGTCAAGCAAAATAAAAAGCATGAAGCAGAGATGCACAGACAGGCTGCATCTAAAGACCGAAACACATCAGCAGTAATGGAGGAGAGCTGCTCCCACTGCACTATCCCTCCGCCAATTATTAAGAGACCAAAAACATGATCTTCGTGAAGCCTCTTGTATGCGGGATATTTCCCTGGAGGCTATGAAGTAGCAAGTCAAAGTCACCTCACAAGATAAGTATGTGGCAATTACATTTACAAGAGGTAATTAGCACATGAAACAGCATTCCCCTTAGCCAGCCAAGCCCGAAGCCAAGGGTGGCCGCGGCCAGGCTCTGCTGTGAAACCCACGGCTGCCCCTCCAGCTGTGGCTCCTCTGTAAGTGTTATTGTCCTCTGCTTCTCCCCATCGAGCACTGGAGGCAGATGATCTGTGTCATCGTCTTATTGATGATAAGCACTAAAAGCTAGCAGCCCTCCGTCTTTTCCCTTAAAGAAATTTTTCCTTTTACGAACCCAACAAATAGCAGTGTGTGTATCCAGACAGACACACTGTAAAATGCTGGGGATTCATTCACGCGGTGGATTGCAGTAGCCAGACTTTTTCCCCATCCATTCCCTACAGACCCACCCCACCCCCACTCACCCGTTATGTGTTCCTAACAATCCCCCACACACACACTACAGGTCATTATGAAGATTCTGAATCTGTGAGCCAAGAGCGTGGCAGGTGAGCAGGAAATAAAATACACAATTTCTCATCTTGATGGCAGAGAAAGTGCAAAGCCAGGAGGTGACATGCAGCTGCAGAGTTGGTAACAGATTTCAAAAGCCGCAGTCTCTTCCCCTCCCAGCACTAAACCATAGCAGCTTAGGGGCTACCTACTTGCCCTGGAAAGATCTGGCTGCCTGACTCGTTAAGAGATACTGTCATTCTTCCAAATGAGATAATCAGCAACCTCCCCTCCTTACATGGACTAGTATGGAGAGAGATCAGAGCCATATAATGACTGATAACTTATTTCTCTTTGTCATGACTACAACCAGGAAGGATATCACAGACAACAAACAGAAAGTAAGCCCTAGCATGGACATATGAGACCTCTTGGAGCTTCAGCAACCTCATGGAATTCCTTTTTCCTGAAGAGATCAAGATATGGACTGTAGAGTACAACAGTACAACTGTGTCATAAACAAAGAGAATCCAGTTTTCGCAGGGCGATGCTCAGATACAGGCCAAGCTCATGCTCATCAGCATACTAATAATTACTCTGTCAAGGATTTTGTGAACACTTAAGCAACCGTTTGGGGTAGTCACTAGCTCCCTCCTTTCATACATTTGAGAAACCTATGAACTATTCTAGTTCCCGAAGGCAATGCTCCATGTTGACAAAAGTATAAGGCTTTCTAAGGAAATGAGCCCTGTGAGCAGCTATCGTAGCATAACTGCAAGTCATTCTGAATAACAGCAGTTAATTCTCTTTGGCTTTCCAAAGCCTGGACTTTGGTCTTTGCTATAAAGTAGGATTAAAGAGTTGGTTCTGTACTCTTCTAGAGGTGTGGTGTTTGACAGAAGCTGAAGGGTTTCAGCCATGACTGAGCACACAGATACTAGCATTTATGAATTTACAACACTAACAGAGGGGTAGAAAAAGTTTCCTGGCAAACAAATACATTCAGATTCCACAGAAAAAACAACACTTCACAATCAAAGGCGAAACTGGTATTTATCAGAGGTTTAATAACTACTTTCACAACTGTGTCTTATTTATAAACCAAGGTGCAATATACAATTACTAGGGAAAAGGCCCATTGTGGAAATAAATACAACGATCTCTAGAAAGAGGCTTTGGGTGGGTGCCCCGGCCTTGGACACTCAATGTCAATTTGCTGTGGTGACCTCAGCAGGGTATAATGACACTGAGTCCACCATTTTCTCCAGAGGAACTGATCTCTGCTACCTAAAGAACAGTTGTAATTTTGAGTGATCTCCAGCTCTCACCTGGAGATTGGCAACGATTGTTCCCCAGAAGGGAATAGTTGGTTTGGAGGGTGGAATCTATGGCTTTGTACCTGTCCGAGGTCCCACGCCTCCTGAAACCTCACCCTCTCCAGGCTCCATCCCTCACATCTCCAGGAATTTCCCACCTGGAGTTGGCAATCCTATCTCCTTCCCAGCCAATCATCAACCTACCTTTATTTCCCCCTCACTCTTCAGCTTTCCACCCCCCCACACACACCTGCAGCCTCTCCTGTGCTCTGAAGCCCTGACTGCTACGTCACATTGGCTGTCATACGGGGGCCACCCCTGCAGCATATAAGGATACAGAGCCCACCATTTTCTCCAGGGGAACTGATCTCTGCCATCTGGAAAGCAGTTGTAATTCTGAGTGCTCTCCAGCCCTCACCTGGAATTGACACATTTTACCTCAGAACAACAAACTGTTTAGAATGTTAGAGGCAAAAGCCAATCAAGTCGCATATGCAAACAACCTCTGTGTTCCGAGGCAAATGCCAATGAGGCTGCATATGCAAATAACCTCTGTGTTCTGACTGGCTATGG